AATAAAGGTCTAATTATTAATTTCTATAACATCTGAAGCCTAAAGAAAGATATGCAATAGGCAGATTTAGCGCTTGCATAATGTATGTTTAATAGCCAATAAGTAGCTGTCTAAAATGAAATGAAATGGGGTTTAACGTCCTACTGTTCTGCTCCGAACTGGGCTAATGAAGATGGGAAATTTTGCCAGGACAGCGGCACTACGACCTACTCTTATATCGAATTCCAACTGTCAAGGGACCTTTTACGTGCACGCCAATGTGTACACGAGACCTCGGTTTTTCGTACCATCCGAATGACTAGACAGCTGTCCTTGTCAGGCCCTCCGTCCTTTCTCGGCCAATGCAGGGATCGAACACCCGACCTCCAGACTAGCGAGCCAGCGTCTTACCCACTTAGCCACGTGATGACCTGTCTAAAAGAAGTAAGATAGGAATAAAGGTTTGTTAATAATATTATATTGAATGATAGATAATATAATACTTACTGAACATGAATCAAGATATATAGAATTATGTTTGATTTGCGGGTGAATGAAAGTTCACGGATAACAGAAATCTAACAATTATTACCTTATTAGATACATTAATGTAAGGATGGTTAGTTTTCTGTATTTCCGTGGGCTGTGTTTGGAAGATGTTTAGTAACGTAGATTGTTGAGGCATGTGAATTAAATAATTACCAGGAAATGACCTGTACCAGAGAGAGAGAAATGGAGTTCAACGTCCACTCGACACAAACTAGGTCATTTCGGGAGACCTGTACCAACATATAATTTTTTTGCACCGACTGGGCTAATGAAGATGGGCATGCATGGGATAAATTTGGCCCGGACAGCGGCATTACGGCGTACTCTTATATCGAACCTCAACTGTCAAGGAATATTTTACGTGCATGCCAACGTGTACACGGGGCCTCGGTTTTTTTGTCCCATCCGGACGACTAGACAACTGGCAAACTGCACCAGAAAATCCCGATGAACGTTCTCGACCAACACCGGCAGCGAACCCGATACCTCCACCTTCTTTCTCGTGGAGCCAACGCGGCTCCCAACACACAAAGAGAGATAACTTAACCAAAATTCTTAACAAATAGCATATTGGTCCAAAATTATATACATGTATATACAAATCGAAAGTTACTGTCATCTAAAGTCCTAGTCCGGCAGCGGGTTGACAAACCTGGAAATATAGTCGTGAATATTTTAATTTCCTCAAGGGTGTCAGGGTGGCATCATCCAGGTATTGAATCTACACATATTGAAGATATATAATCCATAAAAAAAAACATGGATTAGGTGGAGACTATTCCATTTAATTGATTTTATGCCGTCATCATTTTTTGTCTCAGACTTATTAAGGATTATTATGTTCTATCCAACTAAATCTAACCTACGTTTATATTTTTAATCTTCTAGAGTAAAATGTAAATAACATTTATTTTTGTTAAATCAAAAAAAAATAAATAAAATAATATAATTATTAGCTTATGAAGACGGCCATGCGTCATGTAGTGTGTAATGGGGGGGAATGTTGCCAGGACAGCGGCTCGGTGGTTCTTTAATGTGCACTCCGAACAAGATGATGTTACGGCTAGGCCTTGTACCACTGATATGGGGAAACCACGCTTGAAAATCTCTAGGAACTTTCTGTTCTAAGCCATCACAGACGGACAATAACAAAGAGAGATCTGCGATTACTGGTCTACTATTGGACTAAAGGTTTCCGTGAATGTTAAATATGGAGTCCTCTTGAAAAAAGGTTCTACTATTCACCGACAAGAACTGACAAGAGCATTTCTTTTATCAATATCGCCCAAATTGTTGCAAAAGATGATCAACAATGAATAATATGACATAGATATGCATATTCTACACATCATTTATTAGGAACCTTTTCGCTATAGATAAGTAACTGAGAGTAGTGACGCACATTCGAAAAGTGCTGAGACAGTTGAAAATGATGACTCTTTTACCATAACATGTTCAAAACGGGTTGTGGATGTTCAAATAAATATGCAAATCATGATTTTGTTGTTTTTGCCCCTTTTCAACTGATACACGGCCACATTTGAAAAGTGGCCGTGTATAAGTTGAAAAGTGGCCGTGTATCGGTGTATACCCACCCATTTTCATCAAAGAGTCGAGAAAAAGTATGGGTATAAATTATTATACATACATGACTTACATGTATAAATGATCAAATCAGTGGTCGTGTTGCCCAAAATATTAAAGAGAAATTAGTTTGATTTGACTACACAGTTACATCGTGTGTGTTACAATTGCGACAAATTTACCGAGCCATATCCGAGATATAAACGCTGTAACTGTCAATTTAGGAGTCTTACAATTTAGTGATATTGAATTCGTTTAATTACTTACTGATGGAGCCCAATTTTCATTACTCTGAGTAGTTCCGCTTGTGCATGGTAATTTTGAGTATAACATTATTCTGAATTAATCTGATATTATGTTCTTGGTGAAAGTCATAATACTTCTTTAAAGATATATGAAAATATTTTATCTCCGTAGGATTGAAAAGTGGATTCCGTATGTTTCTGGAACAAATCTGGCCGTTACTCGACCAAATGATTAGGCGTATACAATGTGTATGTGATCTTTTATTCGCCATTAGATACTGCCGGAGACGGGTTTTGTAAGTCCACTTAATGGAAAGGAAAACGAAAGAATTTTAAAAGTTAGTCATTAGAGGGTTATTATGAGAAGAACCCACGGGAAAGTCGCGGAAGTTTGTGTATTGCCTATAGGTATATAATGAAATAATATACAAAGGCGAGGAAGCATATTATATAAGTAATTTTTTTATTTAAAATGTACAACTGTACCCCAGGCTTAACTTCAACCACATGTCTGACAAACATCCTGCAGTTTGCAATAATAATATTCTCTCAATTTTAAGTGTTCGTTTCCTCATTATTTTTCAATTGGTCCTTTTCTATTGTTAAAGGTGCACAGTCTAACGGGAGAGTTTTTATTTTTGAATAATAATGAGAAAATGTTTTCACAGAAATTGCATTATACGAAAGTATATTTTATGTTATTCCCAAAATGTTAGATTATACATAAAGGTCAAGTATACGCTGACTCTTTTACGGAACTCATAGAATGAACTATCTTAAACTAGCTGCTACTAACAAAACTTTCTCGGCCATTGCAGGAATCGGACACGCGACCTCCAGGCTAGCTAGCCAGCGTCTTACCAATTAGCTACCGTGGCGCCCATATTGTAATTAAATGAAATGAGGTTTAATGTCTTACTCACTGAGCCACTGCGGCTCCCTTGGTATATTGTCTACAACAGATATGGTAGAAGTTTAGAATATTGTTTACATAAAGTAATTTTAAAGCGTAAAGAGTATAAGCTAATATATCTTTAATTTAAAACAGCAAATGTTTAAAGGTACAATGGTGTCTGAGTGTTAGATATCAAACTATGATAAATTAAATCGAGAATTGTCAGTCTTCACTAGTAACCTCACAGCTGGACGATAAATTGTCTAATGTAGTGTAAGGCGTCGAATATCCGTAGTAATGGAAGAGTTACCACCCTTATCAAAATCATCCTCGTTATTTCAGAATGAAAATCTGTCTGTCTGATGTCGATCCATAGTTGAAGGGCAAGCGTTAAGACCCTTTTCTTTGCCTAGATTTCAATTCTGGATTTCTGGGTGTCCGGTGCATAAAAAAATGCCGTAGAAAAACTTTGTCTCATAAATATTCCTCTAGGGTGCCGGTAGCCCTCCTTGAGCCAATGAAATATAAACCATTAGTAAACACGGAACCAAACAGAAATGTGATGTTTCGAAAAAGAATTAAGCGCAACGAACAGAGCAAAACCGCTCCACCAGGGTGACGTTTGGCCGCTGGTTAACTTATTGTGACCAGTCATTCAGAAGAGACAATAAACCGAGATCACCTGTAGCTTAGTCAGTGACAGAATGTGTTACAGATGAAATTACAATAAGAATTGGAAGAGAATTACGAAAATTTTATTGTAGGCCTAATCAAATTAAGTTTGAATTGTTTTGAATTTTTAGAATGGATACAAATACATGTATACTAGTTTTAACATTAAAATGCCAGTGAATAGCTCAATTACTTTTATTTGGTGCAAATGACAATCATTGAATCCGTACTTCGAACAGAAGGTATTCCTTTTATTCCTGCTGTTCAAATGATACGAAATAGTGAAAATCATCGTTTAACAAACCAACTATTGGATATTGGATACCAGCTACTTTTAGGTGTTTTTAGAAACATGAAACAAAATTTATTGTACTTCATTTTTGTTTCCTGGTATGGTTCATTAGGGAAATTTTAAAGCATTATCAAAAAAATATATTTCTCTTGGACTATGTATTAGAAGTGAAGGTACTCAGTAAAATCAAACCCAACCCCGATCCAATTGTCAAAGTGAGTGGCAAAACCCTTTCTCAGTGTCTTCAGCAATTTTCTTTAATGCAGTTATATTCGGCCAACATCGTTAAACACTTGACAAATTTGTCTAGAAATACACAGCAACATGCTTTAACTGTTTCAAGTATTGATGATTAGCAAGTCGCGAAAGATTCGTCATATAACCCGTATAGTAGAATACGTGTGTATTGAAATGCCTGTATTCAGTTTAAACCGGTATTATTAATAATCCATTATTTGAATAATATTCAATGTATTATATTGAATAGCAGAAAAAAACATACTATAGAACTAACGGTTATTATTAACCGGTTTGTATTTGTATTCATTTTATTGTTTATTTGTATTTTAAGAGAAATAACGTACTCGATGTTAGTGTATTATTATAAATTAATGGTAAGAGAAGAATGGGGGAAAGTAATCAAAGGAGGGAGATTGACACATATTAACGGAATAAAGGAATCGTTTTACCTAAACAACAATACAATTCAATAGATAAGGCAATACCTAGGTGATATTTAAGATCTGTTTACTAATGTCTATTTTATTAGAATCAGCCATGTAACGTTCTTAATATCAGTTTGTTTATAAGTGTAATAACATAACGTTCTTGAGTATGCAATTAGTTAATGTGTGTAGTGTGTTGAATATCACGTATATCTGAAAAACACATAGTTTTAAAAACAGGGTAAGTGTTCTAACTTTTTAAAAATAAACTTGTGGTTACTTGTAACATAATTTTCGGCGTTATTGAAATTACATCATAAAAAACAGCATTCAAATGCAAGGAATAGATTTCATCACTAATTAAAAAGGCTTCACAAAGGTTTTCTTAAAGAAATAATATGTTACAGTTATTTCATATCTAATACATTCTGATCAGATCTATACTAAAGTAACCTTTACTTCACAAAGAAATCTATTGTTCCATTTTTGTCTTCATATTAATAACTCCTAATTAAATCCATACTATAGTAACTTTTACTTCAATACACGTAGATGAATATTTATATATTTATTATCTTTTGAAAGGATGTGGCCTTGAAGATCACAAGATTATTATAAACGTGTCTCTGGGATTATATCTTGGAGTACCGACATGAATTATTTAACACCAAGAGATGCCAACCATGGTCATGGAACCCGATCACCGGGAGGATCTGTATCAGGCCTCTCTAGATCATCTTCAATATTCCCACAAACAGCATCTCCTAAACATCGGGGTTCATTGTTTCCAAGTTCTGTGACTGGAAGGAAGGATTCATTTGAGGACGATTTTGATACCCATAGAATGACTCTAGAAGCAGGAATGACTCCACGGTTTTCGGTAAGCCGTGGTGGTGAAATCACTATGGTATCTGGTAGAAAGTCTAGATCAAGAGAACCTATCATATCGCCAGCATGGAAAGCGCTTATGAAATGTATGTTTCCTATAATTACCGGTACACAGATGTCAATCAAAGAGGTAAGTTTCATATAGAAATGAAATGAAATGAAATGGGGTTTAACGTCCTACTGTTCTGCAAGTTTCATATAGACCATTAGCCTGGATATAAGCTGTATTCTTATCAGTGGGGGTGCAAAAGTTTCTTGGGCTAATAAGACAGTATATCCTTCTTAAGGCTACGTACCTACCAAACAAGTCTCACTATCAAATATACACATCCCTTCAAACATTATATTCTATAGCATCAAGATCTGCAGGGGTCTTTACAATTGATTGTTATAAAATGTTGCTTTCTAAACATCACTATTGTTTTTGAGCAACTGTAGGTAAAAGCGTGTAGAGCATATATCCGGTTAGTTTATTGTTCGTTGATGTGCACGTAAAAGAACCCCTGATAGCGACCCATTGATCAAGAGTAAACAGAAACGCCGCTGTTGTTAGCAACCAATTTCCCCAACAGCACACTACATAATATGATTAAAATACAGATCTATATTTCGTTTTTACTACATGAAGATCTGACCAGTTGTAAGTGTAGATCGCGTCAGAGGTCATACGAGCGGCTTTTGACTCTATGACGTTAGACATTTGATTAACCAATCAGCGTTGATGTTTCTAGTGGATTACCCACAGTTCCTTGCAACTCACACTAACAACTAGCCGTGACAGACCGTTTCATTGGCTAATCCCTCACAGCAATAGGAACACGGGCTATATAACAACTCTTCCAGATCCTAGACCTAGTGTAGTAAAAAGAAGTAAAACGAAATTTTGAACTAAAAAAACGAAACGAAATAGGATCTGTGTTTTAATCAGATTGCACACTACATGGCATATGTCCATCTTCATTAGACCAGCCGTTGCATCCAACCTCGTGGGTTTTCTCCGGGTCCTCCGGTTCCCTCCCACTGCAAAAGACCCCAACGCGCAAGCCAATTATTGAAATAAAATTAAACCATATGTTAGTCCCGAAATGACTCTCTCTCTCCTCTCTCTCTCTCTCTCTCTCTCTCTCTCTCTCTCTCGGCCGTTGCAGGAAACTAGGACCTTAAACACCATTTCATTTATTTATTAGACACTGAATAAATGTATTATAAAACAGCAATAAAATAAACAGATCTAATAAATAGTCGGTTTATAGAAATGTTATATTAATTGCACAGAATTGTTACTTGATTTGTCGTTTGTCAATAGATGAGCTTTACAGGTAATATAGGTTGATGATGGTTTAATGTATTTATAAGATGATTGACGTATCAGCATGGAATGTATTATTATACTTGACATGGTGATATTTCACTAAGTTATCGTCATAGAGTGCTTGGTGTTTGCTTTATAAATATCAGATAAATATACTTTATGTGATGTAAAACAGTCATGTCATCCACCCGGATGCGGATACTATAATCTATGTCTAGTTTGATGAAATTCTGAACATTATGCCACAATGAGATGCAATTCTACGGTAAGTTGTATATGATCAACGACGCTGCTAGTTTTTCTTTGGCCTATGTTCAATACAGACAGGCTTATTTGTTGTGTTTATCCTATTAATGAAGATACATTGAAATGGAATTCATACGTTTATCTCTCCATCGGTCAATCTATTCTTCCGCCATTTCATACGTTTGTCTGCCCACCCATCCTCTGAGGTTTTTTTCTGGATCACATCTCATAAATCATTCAAGATATCTTTATGAAACACTGTACACACATCAACCTATTATTGAAGTTGTGACAGTTGCAAAAAAAAAAATATATTCTCAGATTTAATAATTTTTGTGTTGCTATGGAAACAAACTGACTTAGTTCTTGGTGAATGATATGCAATTGTTATTCGGTAGCTAATCTCAGAAACCATTTAAGATATATTACTGAAACTGATTGAAATTTTATTTTCAAACTTGCAGCATTCATGCCTGCGGAAATGAATGAGTATATAACTTTTCAGTCTATTCATACTTTGTGGTAGCAAAACTGGAATGCCGTGATACTAGCTATTTGTTATGGATCTTGTCACTAGTAGTTTTTGGTTGTTGATTGACAAGACAATGAAACATAGGTTGCCTATCCATGGTTTTTGTTAGCGCATATAACCAAGGACATCTTTTGCGTGAATATGAGTGTCCTAAGAAATGACATTGAGAAATGTATCTAATTCGCTTAAGACTATAAATATTTCCATTTTGAAGTGAAACTTGTATACCCTGTGTTTAAAAGTCGAAATAAACAGCAATCTTTGAATGGCATGACTGAGTTGTCTAGTCCTGGATCTTTTCGTGCATTTCTCTGTTGACTGAACTAAATATCGTTTACCGTAACATGACGACAGACAATTATGTACCCATTGATTATGCTAGTAGACAAATATGACAGTAGGCGATATGACACTGAATAGGCCATTTATTATTAATACATGATAGAAAAATATAATATAAAGTAATAACAATAATGTAATAAAATAGATCAGAACACAAAAATACAACACTGAGAATGATTATTAGGAATTTAAATACTGATTAACTAAATACATATTTTGCTGATAAAGATGGGGTACATACAGTATACAACGCCAAAGATTGTGAACGCCACGGGAGGAGAGACTGATTATAGACCTTCCGAGACAGAAACAATTCAGTCCCACTTTTTGATTATAACCGTGGCTGTTATTAAATATTGAACATTCACATGTAGAACATACACAACGCTAACTTATGTATAATCTCGTTTAGATTTTGGGAAGTAGTGTAACTTTTCCAACCTTACAATTATTCAACTCAATATCGGCAATATATACATTCTATATTGGTAAAGTGACTCTTAACTGAAATAAAATATTTTTCATGCGTGAATAATTAATGGAGAAATGTAATAAGAGAAAGAAATAAAAATTGTAGAACGTACTGGTAACTATGTGTATATTATGATGTTAAAAAGGGAATTTTGCCAGCGCTAAAGGCTAAAGTTGACTTTTCCACTTCTAAGACTTTCAAAATTCTTTATTTTCTACATTCTTAGAAACCCAACTTCTTAGGCTTAAAGTTCTATTGTCGCCATGCTCCACCGCAAGGCAAACTTAATAATATGATTTAGACATTGCCCGATAGCCAAAAAGCGCATGTCCTTGATAAAGATTAAAATCGTGCTACCTAACTTCCATGTTCTCCTATTCCTCCCACTGTTAAATAGATTTACACACCTCAGTTTCGATCTTTATAAAATGAAATGGGGTTTAACGTCCGACTGGGCTAATGAAGACGGTATACGCCATACAGTGTGCTAAGAAGGAAATTTTGACCGGACAGCGTTGCAACGGCCAACTCGAATTCTAACTGCTAAGGGATCTTTTACGTGCATGACAATGTGTACACGGAACCTCGGTTTTTCGTCCCATCCGAACGACTAGACAACTGTCCTCAGTTTCTACATAGTGTGGCTAAGTGTATAAGGCGGTAGACTAACCCAGGACTTCATGGGTTCCATCTCGGTGTTGGCCTAGAAAGTGCCTCGGGATTTTCCATAGAGGTTTTATCGATGTTGCAGGATGGAGGTCACGTGGTAGACGAGCACGTAAAAGAACCACTGGAAGTTCAAATTAAATGAAGATTAGGCGGAAACATCACTGTGTGGGCAAAATATCCATCATAGTACCTCTTTGCTTTAGGAAATTGTATTGTTGTTAATCTAACCCACCCGATAAACGATATAGTGTGATATATATACTCATATAAAACACTGACAATATGTGTAGGTTGTCATATGTAAATAAACTTCTATTGTTATACCCTAACAACATCTTATTCTATATGTCAATATAATACAGTATTAGATTAACGTTGTTTAAATGATAAATAGAAAAGATATAAATTTCACACCAAGTTTACTGTTTGTATATAAGATATATAATCAATATATAGATTGCACTATTGATTGATTTGGGCGTATGTGTATATCAGATAAAAAAAATAAATCAATTTCAGATTCAAAGGACAGTAGACCACTGTCAATAATTGGTGACATGATTGTTTTTATTGTGTAAATGTAGGATTTTACAACCATTTCACCTGTTTGAGAGTGCGTTATAAATATTCACAGGATTTGGTTTGTAAGCTACAATGGTGTTGCCATGTATATCCTAAAGGATTTGCCTGGGTTCGTGGAATGAGCACTGATACGAGGATGTGAGAATCTTTCCAATTTTGACTCCATTTAATGCAATCTGGCTGAATTTGAAACGATATTTTGACTAATTGGGTTTACCTAGGTTTTACTTCAAATATTGAATTTGATTGATTAACTTTAAATTCTATAAGGGTTAAATTGGTTGGTACATTGAAAGGGAATATCGAGGATAAGACCTTAGGGATTTAATTTGTGACCCCCTTCCTCATCATGATCAACTGATTGATGTTGAATTAAGTTCATCAATAATTCATAAAATTTTAATAAATAGTTTATATTCGAGGATCAATACCTAAACACTATTGTAGGTAATCTCTCAGATTAATTTTTCCGTCATTTACCTAATTTCAGGAAAGATATCTTCATACGTGTACTGAAATTGAAAGTAGATTCTAGATTTTGTATAATTATGATCATATCAAAATCCCATTGTTCCTTTGAGGTGTCATGATCTGTAATAAAAGATAACAATAGATAGTTCTTTCTGTTAAACCAGTAATCAGAGATTTAGTTGGGGATTAATGTTGATGGGTGTAATTGAACAGACAGTAAGGTAGTGTTTTATAGATCCCTGTCCAGTGAATCTGTGATTAGGATAATATTATTTCGTAGATTAGCACTTTGTGAACTTTTAACCTATGGCCAACACGACGGTATTCTCTTCAAAACTTATTTAAAATATGTAATAGTTGGGTGTGAAATATTTGTTTGATAGTAAAATATAATGTTAGTTATGTTCTTTTATGTAAAATTTAAGTGCTCTTGAAATAACGTTGTCCCAGTTTAAAAATCATGTTACCAAGAAGACGTTTTACTTTATATACCAACTGTTTTGT